TACAAAACCACATGAGAAATAACTTGTTTTCCAAATTCTCACCGTTAATATCCTCACTTCACTCAGCACCAAGTTTTCAATCAGCTGATTTTTCTTGCTGATTTTACTAGTTCCATTCTAATACAATTGTAGCTTCATAATATGTTGTGTGTCAGGTAGGCATAATAATCCCAATTGTGTTCATCATTCAAAAAAATGTAGCTATTTCTACCCTTTTTCAAATCACAGATTAAAGGTTTTATTTTCTATAAAATATTTACTGATTTCCTCAGTCACAAATAATTGGTTTTTTTGTCTACCTTTGTTCACTGGCTCTCTCACCTTACGCCTCAAAGTTTTGTTCACAATACCTCTCCTTTATTTCCACAATCTCCTTTTCTCACAACACTAACAGTGTCTCTTTCAATACATGAACTGTGAATAAGACAGCCACCAGAACCCAAAAGTGCTCAAGCTGTCCTGAAGGAGAAAGGTACAATAAATGTGGATACTATAAGGATACTTACGTCCAAAGGAAATTCTAGGAGCATTAAGGATAGGCACCAAAATCAGTGATTCCTCTAGCACTCCACAGATTTAACTATAACTCACTCTGCTTTGCCCAGTCTCCTCAAGCAAAGTGTTGCTATGTCTGTTAAAAAAAACCCAAACCAAACCCGCTGCCATCAAGTCGATTCCAACTCATAGCTACCCCATGGGGTGTCCAAGGCTGTAAATCTTTATGGAAGCAGACTGTCACATCCTTCTCCCATGGCGCGCCAGTGATTTCAAACCGCCGACCTTTCGGTCAGCAGTCAAGTGCTTTAACCACTGCACTTTGCCATGTCTATAGAGGCTTGACAATAGGCCAGAATTGAAAAAATGTAATATGCCAGAAAAAAAATCAATAATAGTAGCCAGCTCTAGTAGCTAGTTTTTGTGGACCTCTTACCATATTTCCAACTACATACTAACTAGTTACATATATTATCTCACTTAACTCTCAAAAGAACCTTAAAAATAGATACTATGATCATAATTTCATGATTTATATATTATGAAACTGAACCTCAGATAAGTTTAAAAAAAAAATAAAGGACACATAGCTGGTCAGCGGCGAAACCACAACGTTGAGCCAGGTCTATTTGATTCTAAAGTCCATGCTCTTAAACATTATCATACTTGGTATCGTCTCCCAGTAAGATATAGTTCTCTATTTTGGTTATTAAAAATCAACTTAAAGGGAATATAAGAAATATCTTAAACTGTAATCATATTTTTCAAAAAGACTTAAAGTTGACTGCAAATTGACTTTAATGAATAGTCAATAGTGAATCAATAATGTGGGTAACTGTTCAAATCGGTAAAGTAAACTGAGTCTGTGTCAAAAAGCAGCTGAGGTCTGCACTGAGCAAAACATACCACCTCACAGGACTGTGATGACAGAAGATGAGTTAATAATAAAATGTGCTTTGAACTGGTCCTGGCACATAGTAAGCACTCAATACACATTAGCCTCATTATAAAAATTAAAAAGTAATAAAATAGAGGAACATATTACTGGATGTATAAGACAACACATCCTGCTCAACCATGCCGTAACTGTAAGACAACACTCCAAATCTGTGTGGTGCTCACATGTTGTACCGAATTTCTACTAGCCAGGAGGCCAATAGAGAAAGGGCATCCATAACTAATATGGTGCTACATAAACATCACGTCTTTCCTATCAGAGCCTGAGCACACATTAGCACATGGAAAGTAGCTTTTATTGCTTACAAGAATCACACAGCATACAACAGGAAAAGTTCCATAACCAGCAGTCCCCCCTCGAAAGCTGTCGGGGCAGAGTTGGTGACTCTTCTTTCACACCCCACTTTGTGCCATGGGTGAGGAGCTTAAATGGGACCCTACTTACTACTGGTCTCCCCCGGCCAAGTAGGTCCACTTAGGTGGACCGTAAGCTTACGCTATGTGTGCCCCACCTCCATCAGAGGTGAAGAGACTAGAACTTCCTCTCTCAGCTGTTTTATACCCTCAGCCTAAGTAACCAAATGTATCTTTTTAAACTTGCTAACAAATATCCTGCTGCATCATGCTCCCTGACTTCCTAAAGCTGCGGGATTGTTAGCCCAGAATTATCTTTTTAATCTTGCTAAAAAATATCAGGCCTCAATGGGGTGGTGACTTGCTCTGAGGCCTAAAGATGCCAGCAGGGGGAGGAACAGAGGAAAACCTGGCTGACTGGCTTGTCCCAAGGATTTGCTCCTCACAATGGGAAATGCTGAAAAATCTGAAAATGTTCAGCAGAAGAATTTGAAGCAAGTGGATGATCTTGAAATTGTTTCATATGGCACACAAGTGGTAAGGAAGCAGATGATACTTAGACTAAAGCAGAAAAATCTTAACGGGGCTCTGACAGAAAATGTTAAATACTTGTTCAATCAATGAATATTTTTGTGGCCTTTTTATAAGGAAGATACTGTAGTTAATACTAACAAAGAAAAAATAAATAAAGGGTAACCTCTGTTTGCAAGGAGCTAAATTTTAGTGATGTAGAAAATGATATTTGCAAATAACTATATATTAAAACAGAATAAGATAGATGACACTTCCAGGATTAGAATTCACTTTTGGCAAGAAGGATCAGGAGGTTTCTATAGTAACAAAGGGTGTATAGGATTTATGGCAGCCAGAGATGTGAACCATTTCAAACCCAACTCACTTAAAAAACATACAGAGCTAATAAATCATGTCAGATGGTCTGCTTTGACAAAAATGAAGATGATGTGAGGTCAAATTTAAAAATTCAGATTACAGACTGGGACCAAATCATGGACAGCTAAAAATGATCAATTCATGACTCTAAAAACTAAGTCCACTAAAGCAAATTGTTTAATTAGGAACCAAACCAAACCTATTGCTTGTAGAGTCAATTCCAACTCATAGCAACCCTATGGGACAGAGTAGAACTGACCCATAGAGTTTCCAAAGCTATGAATCTTTACGGAAGCAGACTGCCACATATTTCTCCCGCTTTAATTAGGAAGTGGGTATTTTGTGTCAGAACTGAAGAAATTAGACAATTAGTTAGCAAGTTGTCTCATGGATGTGCTGAGACATATGTAAGAAAAGTAGTGGATAAAAATTAGTTGGCATGCTATTGTACAATGGAGGCTGTTTCTCTTTTTCAATAAGCATATATTAAGTATCTAAAATGGGCACGTCCCTTAGTTAAAAGATCTAAATATAATTATGTACTAGTCCCTCTATGAATTTGAAGTATTGCAGTATAATAGGGAAACCAGAGCCTGCAGTCCTCATTCACAGCATAACCAAAGGTGGGGAATGCGGCTGTCTCTACGACTCTGAGCTGATAGCCACTATGTAATATTTGAAGAGGGCTCCTGAACCAGAGCTCTATGCCCAGCCACTAGTTGTTTCAGATAAAACAGGGTTCTTCCTATCATCCAATAACAACAGAGTTTTACCACATGCAGAAAGAAAGCTTACTCACTTGAGATTTTCGATCTGTGAAGTTTTCATTTAACAGTTATTCCTGCTAAATACTTTTTCTTTTTCTTCCTGTAGACAAGTAGGACACAAGAGAGACAAAGTAGGCTGAAAAACAGACTACGGGTGAATCCAGCTTCCCAAGCATCATCTTCACTTCAGCAGGTACTTTCCTCAGGGAAAAGTGGTCAGATTCCTATTCAGCCAGATGCATCTGCTCAACAAAAATCTGGAAGCTTTCAAACCCATTTAAATTCCACTGGTTCAAAGAGATCTGAAAAGACAAAATCTGGTCAAAATTCTGCAGTACAACAAAGTCGCCAACGATCCCCAAATTATCTGAATTTACCAGTTAAACTAAGATCTAGCACTACCAATTCTAAAGCAGTTAAATCTACTCAAAAGCTAATTAAAAGTAATAAACCTCTCACAGGTGTCTATAGTCATTCAAAACTAGATCAACATAAATTTCCTTCATTTCAAAAAACCATTAAACCCAAAACTAAGTCAAAGCTATTAATTAACCCAAAAGTAAGTAGCCAATCAAAATCTCAGTTACAATCATCTGAACAAAATCAAAATGTCAACCATTTCCCAAATCAAAGAAATTCAAGAGCTCCCCCACAATTTAACAAAACCAAATCTCAGCAAGGAAAAACTGTTAAAAATATTTTAAGAAAACCAAATCCCAGAACCAAAGTTCAACAAAATCTAAAAAAACCCAAGTCACTTGCAGCTTCAGTTGGTAAAAGAAATAGTCAACAGCAAACTAAGCCACAAGCATTAGGTCCACATAAAACACATGTCCATTCAAAACTTCATAATAACGCAAACAAGAAACAACAAATCAGTCAAACAAAGACTCCTGTAAAAAAACAAATTGGCCAAAGGAAAAAATCATTTAAATACTGTTAAACAACCTGGAAACTCAAAAACTATTTCAAATAAAACAAACCAAACCAAAATGGTAAGGAAGCAACCTGGCAAACACAGACATCATCCATCCAGCCAATTAAGACCTCTTCAAAAATCACCTGGGCAAAAACATCTTCGCCAACCCCCAAATCATCACAATTTGTCAGTTCCTAAGAAACCTAGAATTATCAAATATCACACAGGCAAAACTGCTAAAAACTTAGGAAGGAGACCTAAAACTTACTCTGGCACCAAATTTCAACAAAACCCCCAAGTACCCAAACTACTTTCACTTCCAAATGGTCCAAAAGGTAAATGTCAAACTAAACCACAAGCATTAGGTCCAAGGAAAACACCTGGACAAGCAAAACTTTGTAAAAATCCAGTCACAAAGCAGCAAACAAGTCAAGCAATGACTAGGCCAAATGTGCTCAAATATAATCAGACTGTGTCTTCAAAATATCATTTAAATAAACCAATAAGAAAACAGCCTAGCCAAAGAAAACCTAAGGCACATGCAATCACACAACAGGGAAACAAAAAGACAAGGTATCTACCTTCTCATTGGAGACCTCACCAACCACGCCCTCTGCATCATCGTCCTGGCCAACCAAAACCTGGACAAAAGGTGCCTTTGCTCTGGCATCCTGCTGTACAAAAACAATATTTTAGTCCATTGCATCACCATCCATATAAACCTACCAAGTGCCCTGGCTCAAACAAACATAGTCCAAGGCTACCTCGCCCACACAGACCTTCTCAAAAGCCAACATTGAAACCTAAACCTGGCTGTCACCATCATCATTTTCTGGGAGTACGTCCTCCCCTACAACCTGGAAATTTGCAAAAAAATCTTAATCCAGCAACCTCTAAACCTATATCCTCAGGACCATCTTTACAGACCACCAAAGCTTCCATGACCGTTCAACCTGCATCAACTACCAGAAATCCCATCACAAACTCTGTGGGCTCTATCACCAATTCTTCCCCAAATTCCAGTCTCACAGTTACAATAGCCACTACTTCTAAGAAACCTCTGTTTAATACCCCCATATCTTCCACTACTGCCAAGGCAGGGGCTCTTACCACCAAATCCTCTACCACTAATAAACCTGCCACAACTATTACTACATCCACTACCACAACAAAAGCTGTGACCTCCACCACCAAATCCTCCACCAGTTCTAAGCCTACTACCTTCACCACTAGTAAATCTACCACAATTATCCAGCCTGTGGCTTCTACCTAGAAGTCTAGTACCATCACCAAGTCTACCACTTCTCCCAAATCCACCACCAATTCTAAGCCTGCTACCTTTACAACCAAATCCACAACTATAAAACCTGTGACTCCTACTATAAAATTGACTACCTCTACCAAGCCTCAGACAACCATGATTGAACTTTCAACTAGTAGCAATACCGTAGCTGATACCAATTCATTTGCCATTGTATCTCTCAACCCAACTGAAATTACTAGTTTCTTGGCCACTGCTACAAACTCTGCTCCAACAACCAAATCTGTGGTGAAAACCACTAAATCCCTCATTACTACTACCAAAATTGCTCAGTCTACTAGCTCAGTATCCATTGCCACTACAACAACTCCTGATTCTAATTTCCCAACTATTGTCTCAAAAACTACACTGCCTACCACCAAAAACTCAGCTTCTCAGTCTATATCTACCACCACTACACCCACTGCTACCACTGCTTCAACTGTCAATACAGCCATACTATCTTCAGTAACTACCGCAACCCTAGCTGGAAGCACCTTAAGAGCTGCCAATACTACAAAGTTGCCAGCCGCCACCAAAGCTTCTCTCTCTGCAGCATCAAGAACCACAGCTGCCCTTATCACATCTGCTCCCATAGTTACTTCAATCTCTCTCATCACAGAGGTTGCCCCCACCAGCGTGGATCTCTCTACCACATCTGTTGCTTCAATCACCCCCACTTCCTCTACTACTTCTTCAGCTTCTTCTACCTCCACAGCTGAATCTTCTCTGTCCACCATGTCTTCTGAGAGCAGTACCACATCCACAGCTGTGACCACTACAGCTCCTTCTACCACAGCACAGGCTTTCACTAGCACCTCTGCTGCTACGACATCTACCTGTACAACATTTGCACCGACAGCCAGCTCTACATCTATCGCTTCTACCTGCCATTGAAACAACTACTTCTACAACCACAGAAGCAGCCACCACTACAGATACTCTGTCCACCACGTCAGCTGTTCTTAGCACAGCAGCATCCACAGTGACCATCCCTGAAACAACCACAAACCTTATTTCCACCACTGCCGCTGTCTCTGATGTACTTCATTTGACTACTGGAGCAGACACCACAGCTTCACCCACTGATACTATGGCCACAACCCTGGTCACTGCAGATGGTACGTCAACACCTTACTCAACCAAATTTTTTGACACTACACATTATTATGAACCTGACACTAATGATTTCACCTTTACTGCCTCCTATACATCTCCGGTGACCACAAGCACTTGGGCCTCTTCTAGCAGCACACAGCCCACCACATCCACAGGTGTTCCCACTGCCACCTCAGCTAACTTCATCACAACTCTTGTCTCCAAAACCACTTCTACTCATTCTATCACCACACAGCCAGACACCACCACAGCCATTCTCGCTCTCTCATCTGCAATAGACACCACACCTGCTCCTACCACACCTGCTCCCACAACTGTCACTACTTCTATCACCGCAGAGGCTTCCACCCCTGCAGCAGCACTGTCCACTGCATCAGTTGCCACCATGGTAGCTGAGGCCACCAATAAATCTGCTTATTTAACTACATCTGGAGCATCTCCCTCAGCATCCATAAGTACCATCTCTGCTGCCACCAACACCTCTGCCATGACCACAGCTGCCCCTACCACAGTGGCTACCACAACCACGTCTACTTTCTCCACCACCTTAGCAGAGATCCCTTCCTCCTCTGCTGTCACCAGTGCCTCATCTGCCACCACAACTATTTCTTCTCCTTCAACAGCCACACAGAGTGGCAATAGCATCTCCTCAGGCACCACACACATTTCAGCCTTACGTGCTAGCTCAACTCCTGCTACCATCAATAATTCACCTGGCTCCACAACACCTCCATGCATTTCACCAGCTTCCATTGAAACATATGCTGCCCCTAGCATCACATTATCCACTGTGACTGTCCCCAACATGACCACAGGTCTTACTTTAACTATGACACCTGCTTCTTCCACACTTACTGCTAGAGAAGACACTACAGCTTCACGAGATGACACAACCACCACAACCTTGGTCACTGAAGATGACATGTCAACATCTTACTCTAGCACATTTGACAGCATTACACTTTCTTATGACCCTGACACAACTGATTTTACCTCTGATGCCTTCTATACCTCATCTGCCACCACACAGACCACCCCCTTCACAGATGTTCCCTCTGCCACAACTGCTTCCACCACAGATGTTCCCACTACTCTTTCTACAACCTCCTCTGCTTCTACTATCACAGACACTGTCACTACCACACCTGCTACCCCAAACACTTCTGCTCCTTCCAGCACCACTCAAGCTGCCACTTCCACAGCTGAGGATTCCATCACAGCTGCTACCACTGCTGTTTCTGGTGCTACTAGTCAATCTGCTTCATCCACCTCATCTGGAGCAGCAGCATCCTCAAGTATCACCTCTGCTGCCACTAACACATCTGCCATGACCACAGTAGTCCCCACCACAGCTGCTTCCACGGCCACTTCCTCCTCTGCTGTTCCTGGTACCACACACGCTGCCACAAGCATATCTGCCCCTTCTAGCACCACACAGATAGTCAGAGATAATCTGTCCTCTCTGTCTCATCTACCGCAGCCACCAGCACCATTCCTGCTATCACAATCACTGCTGCTCTCTCCACCACCCCTCTGGTTGAAGCTGTCATTTCTCCATCCACTACTCCTGCTGCTTCCATCCCTGCTGTTTTGACCCCTACTACCACCACCACTTTATCAGCTTCCTCCACATTTTCTAGCACTTCACTATCTTCTGTCACAACATCTCCTGTCCCCACCTCACCATTAACCACTGGGACCACCCCTGAGATCACCACGAATTCTATTTTTACTACTACATATGATTCCTCTGCTCTTTTTTCTACCATCATAAATGACACCACAGCTTCATCTCCTGACACTATACCAAGTACTGTGGTCACCACAGGAGACATGACATTTGAGACCACCACATTTGTTGATGACAGTATTTTTGACTATGAACTTGACACTACCACTCCTGACACTGTCACTACTCTTACTGCCGCCAACTCTTCAGCTGTTTCTATCACCATAGAGTCTGCTACCACCACTGGCAGTACCTTCAGCTCCCCAGCTGCCACAACCATTTTTTCTCATTCTTCTACTATATAGTCTGTCACTACTAGTCCTCTCACCATTACTGCTACCCCTACCACACCTGCTTCTACAACCATGACATCTGTGGCCACAACAGTTGCTGAAACCACTGTTAAATCTGTTTCTTCCACCACACCTGGAGCATTTCCAGCAGCACCCACAAGTACCACATCTGTGGCCACCAACACCACCACTCAGCCTGTCACCACCACAGAACAAGTCTCCTCCTCACCGGCTGCCACAAGTACTTCTGCCCCTTCCAGCTCCTCACAGAGTGCCACTAACACAGCTTTTCACTCAAGCTCATCCGTCACAGTCACCAGCACATCCCCTGACACTACAACCATTTCTTTTTCTTCAACCCCTGCTCAGGCTGACACTAGTGCCTCTGCTACCACCACACTTGTCTCTACTGCTCTTCCCACAGCCTCCTCCACATCTACCACCTCTGTGCCTGACATCACCACAGCTCTAGTCTCCTCCTTGTCTGCTGCCATGTCTTCTACCCCTTCCAGTACCTCACAAAGTGCCACTACCACAGCTCTTCCCTTGAGCTCATCTGCTGCAGCCACCAGCACCACTACTGCTGCTCTCTCCACCGACCCTCTGGTTGATGCTGTCACTGCTCCAGCCACCAGTCCTGCTACTTCCATCCCTGCTTCTTCCACTCCTGCTGCCACCATCACTTTATCAGTTTCCTCCACATCTTCTAGCATATCACCATTTTCTGTCACAACATCTCCTTCCCCCACCTCACCATTAACCACTGGGACCACCCCTGAGATCACCACGAATTCTATTTTTACTATTACATCTGACTCCTCTGCTCTTTTTTCTACCATCATAGATGACACCACAGCTTCATCTCCTGACACTTTAGCAAGTATTGTGGTCACCACAGGAGACGTGACATTTGAGTCTACCACATTTGATGATGACAGTATTTTTGACTATGACCTTGACACTACCACTCCTGACACTGTCACTACTCTTACTGCCACCAACTCTTCAGCTCCTTCTATCAACACAGAGCCCATCATCACCACTGACATTACCTTCACCTCCCCTTTTGCCACAACCATTTCTTCTCATTCTTCTACTATACAGTCTGTCACTACTAGTTCTCTCACTACCACTGCTGTCCCTACCACACCCACTCCAACAACCACAACATCTGTGGCCACAACAGTAGTTGAGGCCACTGTTAAATCTGTTTCTTCCACCACATCTGGAGCATTTCCAGCAGCACCCACAAGTACCACATCTGTGGCCACCAACACCATCACTCAGCCTGTCACCACCACATAACAGGTCTCCTCACCTGCTGCCACAAGTACTTCTGCCCCTTCCAGCTCCTTACAGAGTGCCACTACCACAGCTCTTCCCTCGAGTTCATCCGTTGCAGTCACCAGCACATCCCCTGCCACTACAACCTTTTTTCTTCAACCACTGCTCAAGCTGACACCACCACCTCTGCTACCACCGCACCTGTCTCTACTGCTCTTCCCACAGCTTCCTCCACATCTACCACCTCTGTGCCTGTCATCACCACAGCTCTGGTCGCCTCCTCATCTGTTGCCATGTGTATTGCACCTTCCAGCACTTCACAAGATGCTACTACTACATCTCTTCCCTTGAGCTTATCTGCTGCAGCCACCAGTACAGCCCCTGCCACCACTACTTCTTCTTCCCCAACCACCATGCAAGCTGTCTCAGCTATCACATCTGCTTTTACCACCACGCCTATGTATAAAACTACCACTGGCACCACAAAGTCTTCCACCTTCACAGCTGAAGTGTCTTCCTCATCAGCTACCACCATCACCCCACCTTCAGCCAGAAGCACATCTGCCTCTTCCAGTACAACACCCCCAGCCAGAAACACAGCTGTTCTATCTATTTCATCTGCTGCAAGTCCCAGCAGCACCCCTGCTACTACAACCATTTCTTCTCCCTCAACCACACAGTCTGTTTCTACCCCTTCAACCACCACAGCTGTCCCTCCCACATCTACTCATACTACCACCACTGTCACCTCTGAGACAGTCACTACCACAGCTGATCTCTTTTCTACATTAGCTGTCACTACAACTTGAGACCTCTTCCACCACTGCTGTTGAATCTTCCTCAGCATCTGCAAGCACTACATATGCTGCTACTTATACTGCCACAGCTACTGCAGCCAATTTTACTACACCTGCCTCCACGACCATTTCTGCCACATCTACAAGCACACAGGCTGCTACGACCACACCTGGTCATACTACTACATCTGTTACAACCAGTACCACACCTACAGCCACAATGATTGTAGCCCTCTCTACCACCACATCTGATGCCTCAAACACTGCTTCCATTAGTACCTCATCATCCCTCGCCACACCTGCTACCACTGCATCAGCTACCAGAGCAGCACCCTACAGCACTTTAGTTGATGCACTCAGCACATCTGTTTTCATCAGAGATAGCCTCTGACACCCCCACGACTCCCACACCCACTACCATATACGCTTCTTCCACACTTGACGTCACTACCCCTCTTGACACCACAACTCCACCTATTGACACTACAGACAATACTGCCATCACTACTGATGACAAGCCTCCACTTAGCCCTAGCACATTTTATGACACTAGACTTGCTAGTAATGATAGTACCACTGATAGTGACACAGCTGAGTCCACATCAGATGCCTTTACAGAAAGTACAGCTGAACCTGAATTATCTTCTACATCCTCTCTACCAAAGATCCTGATTTACATAAGAGTAACTTCTTAATCAATCTTAAGCTGAGCCCAAAATCTTGTACCGTCTACTCTTTCTAGCACTACCACTCTATTACTTTCTACTCTTACAAATTTTCTTCTAGCTATTTCATTTCATACATGAATTAAAACAATCTGTTGCATTACCTGTGAAATTGTAAAGACTTATTGTTAATCAATGGACAACATGATTACTTTTTTCTAAAACCTATACCTAAGAGAAAAATTTTAAAGAAATAAGTCAAAATGTTAATGTTGTTTGCACTGGAGATAAAATTATAGATGGCATGAGGACTGAGACAGGATGGAATCAAACTGTGACCAAAGAAATCCCTTTGTCTCCCTGTCCAACACCCCTTTCTGAACTTCCCCAACTCTCCATGTCACCCAGAAAATGCTACAAATGCCCTCTGGATTTGGTAGACATACACACACACACACACACACACACACACACACACACACAAATATAAATCCTTAAGAAATACAAACAATTAGAAAGTTATCAAAGTTAACTGCAAGCAAGACAATTTAGGAAGAAAGGATAATACTCCATTACTGATTAGGATAGTTACCACTAAGAAATCCTAAATTAAAACAGTTCTTATCAATTAAAGCTCCAACAATCCACCTTTGTAAATTAATCCAAAGAATGTAGCTTTTTTTTTTTGGGTAAATCAATATGATTAGAGGCAATATCCTAGAGCAATCTGAGCTCCCATCACGTGAGACTGAATTATACTAGCATGTGGCTACCTCTTATCCAGGGTTTTTTGTGTGACAAGACTACCATTAATAAAATACTGTCAGGAAACATTAAGCTAGAAGCCATGAAAAGTAAATAAAAACAAAAGTTAATGTTAGAGAATTGAAGATAAGTTGTAAATGACATTTTCATTTTATTCCAGTAATTCTTGGCTGATGAAAAGATGATTTTATCCCTTTGAGGTATGTCAAGCACAGATTAGTCTAGTCATTCAAGACATGTTTTGGAAATGAGTAAGGCTAACCTTTCACTAGGTGATGATATGGTGCTAAAATAAAAGAAAAATTCAATATACAATATAGCATTTTTTACTGCAGTTGTGTTCCTCGAAGTTTTATGTAAGCTGATTATTTTTGATCAAATCATATTAAAAGTACTAAAAATGTCTACTATATTGTATCTTTTAAATTGTAAAAAATACTTATAATAATAAAAAGTATCACTTTTTATCTTCTGGGAAATTTTGAATTTTTATTCATGGAATTTGATTAAATAATTATGAAGAGCACTTAACAAAAAAAATTCAGAAATTTATTTTTGGGGCCTATGATTGGGCATTTCTCACAAAGCATACACAAGCAAGCACTGACTAATTTATTTCCAAGTACATATGATTGTTTCAGCATAATGAAATCCTCTTCAGAGTGTGTGTTATTAGTGTTACCAAACAGAAGTAAATGCCTTCCATTGATGCAAAATCTACAACAAAGAAAATCCCTTGATGATTTTTTCTAGCTAATAAATGTTTGAAATGACTGCCTTCTTTTTGTGTGTTATTGTGTGTAAAGGAATCCGAGAGGCCCTAGGCTTCAATTAAAACAATGTGTATGATAAATTAAGTGCGGTGATTTAGAACTAGTCACACATGAAAGAAAGCACCTTCAACACTTTCTGTATATGCTTATGACTCCTCAATCTCCGCATATATTTGACTAGAATATATACTTGGATATAAAGCAACCTGAGTATAAGCCAACCCGTATATTTTCCAGATGAGAATATAGCCAAAAGTTTTTAAATTTATAAAGTGAATATACAAACTTCTAGAGATGCAGATGAAACTGTCACTTTCTATTTCTGATTGGAGTTCCTTAATGGCACAAATGGTTAAGAGCTTGGCTTCTAACCAAAAGGCTGGTGGTTCAAATCTACCCAGAGGTTCCTCGGAAAAAAGCCCTGGTAATCTCCTTATGAAAAAGGAGCCACTGAAAACTCTATGGAACACAGTCTTTCTTTGACACACATGCGGTCATTATAAGTCTGAATCAACACAATGATTAATTTATTAGACTGCATACGTGTTTAGAATCATATATTAGATAAAAATGTAATAATTTTTAAATAATGCTCTTTTATACTGTCATATTCTGTAAAATCATTTTCTTCAAACTCTTCATATTCATCTTTGATGTACAATAAAACACAACTCCCATCATACACATACTATCTTTAAAGTTTTTTAAATGCTAATAATTTACCACTAATATGCCACTACCCACAGCTAGGCAAAACACAGCCTTACAAGTTGCAGTTGGGCTCAGCACATGAGTTATTCAACGGGAGTGGGTCACAAGCAGCAGGAGTCATCACCAAGTTGGGAATTGGTTTTCTGAAAACTTATTCTCCTCTGATGCTCTCCTCTTTCCGTCCATGTTCCAGCTTTGAGCCTGGACTGGGATGCTCATTCCCCTTCTGCTGCTGTCAGTGCTAAGCAAATCTGACTCCACTTTTCTCCTGGATTGACCTACCACTATAACACCAAGACAATTTCTTCTAGATTCCAAATTCATCATATTTTATTATATACTTTTCAACTACCCTCCTGCTCCTAATAGCTTCTTTTGTCTCATGGTTAGTTGCTCTTGGCTGTAAATAGTGCCTGGACACCAACTAGCCTTGCCCAAGCCAAGAACCTCTTCCCCATTCATGACAGAACAAAGTAAACCAATAGGGCAAGAGAGGTTAGGGGGAAAATCTGATCTACCTGAAATTAAAAAGCATTCTTTTAAATAACCCTTGGAACAAAGAAAAAAATCAAAACTGCAATTACAAAATTATCTAGACGTCTGGGGAGAGTTGAACTGTTCCTTCTAAAATCAAAGATGTGATCTAAGAAAAATTATAGTCTTCAATGGTTTATTATTAAACTATTAGTATTAAAAAATAAAAACTAAAGTAAATAAGCTGAGCATTCAACTTTAGGAACTGAAAGGATAATAAAACAATTTCCTTTTAAAGTAAGAAATAAGATTAACAAAGATAAAGATTGAAATTAGTAATATTTTTTAAATAATAGAAAGAATAAATAAACCAAAAAGATAATTATTTGAAATGACCAAGAAAACAGATGAATTACTAGCAATCCTGATTAAGGAACAAAAGCAGAAAATAGAAATATGCAACATTAGGAATTAGACAACCATAAATACAGAAGAAGTCATTAGGAATTAGACAACCATAAATACAGAAGAAATCAAATGAACTGGTAAAGAAAACTGTGTACATCTCTTTAAAACTCAATTTGATGAATCAACATCAGTGGATGGTTTTCTAGCAAAATATAAACTATCAAAAACTGTTAGAAATAGAAATTTCATAAGGTAATTAAAGATTTACCACTTTGGATATCATGAGGCACAGATGGTTTTTGAGTTCTAAATACATAAACTGTCATGTTTGTTAAATAGAAAATATACTATCATTGTAATTGTCAATTCTTCCTGAATTAATATATAAAAAATAGTGCAGCAACAATCAGAATTCCAGTGAGGATTGATTGGGGGTCATTTTTGTTTGATTTGGAGCCAGACAGCTCTGCAGAGCTGCGGCAACCTAGAGCAGAATGTTAAAACCCAAGCAGCGTGAGGAAAGAATCCAGTGAAGAAGGACTAGCCCATGAGGGGTGGCATAGCCAGAATGAGATGAAGAGGGTTTCCACATGAGAAGGCAGCCAAGCACGGGAGTCAGGGCCTGTTATGGATTGAAATGTGTCCCCAAAAATATGTGCTGTAAATCCTAACCTCTAAACCTGTGGTTATAATCCCATTTGGGAATGGATTGTCTTTATTATGTTAATGATCAGAATTAGTGTAGGGTGTATCTTGAG